CCTTTATCAAGCCAGGTAGATTGAAAAGATATTTTTTCTTTTTTTTTTTTTTTTTTTTAGTTATAAAGATTACACATGCTCATTGAAAAAATTTGAATAATAGAGAGATGTATACAGCAGGAAGTGACATCTCCTAATCTTGTCCACTCCCCTCCCCAGCCTTATTCCCGCTCCCTATGGGTAACCACTGCTTCTAGTTTACTGTGAATACTTTGAAATCTTTTTCTGTGTGCACACAAACACATATACATGGTTGCCTGGGTGATGTAAACAATTAATGCACTTGGCTGCTAACCAAAAGGTTGGTAGTTCAAGTCCACCCAGAGGCACCTCAGAAGAAAGGCCTGGTGATCTACTTCTGAAAAATCAGCCATTGTGTTCCTACGGAGCACAGTTCTACTCTGACACACCACATGGGGTGTGGGATATCCATGAGTTGGAGCTGACTCAATGGCAGTGAGTTGGTTGACTGATTTACAAAAATATGGGATCATGTACACTGTTCTTCCTACCTTATCATTCATAAAGGGCTTTTGTGGGTCCACCCAGGAAAATGACTGTCATTTATAGCAGTGTTTCTGGGTTTCAAGCAACCCACTCACAAATGAACTTCCAGCTGGTGGCAGAAGGAGGAGGAGAAGGCAATAGCAAAGGTGAGGGAATGATCAGTTTTCCTCTTCCCGCTAAATTCAGTAATGCTGACCCTTTTTCCTCCTCTGTCCTCTGTCCTCTCTTTCTCTTCAGGGGAACCACCAGGTCCCCACTGAGCTCTTTCCCAACACTACCTCTTCACTGCTGTGCCTCTGCTTCTCTCAGCATCCTTCTGCCCACTGCACCCTGACTTCACCTTCCTTCCCTAGAAACATTGCCATATTTGTAAGAAATCAGAATTGCTTTCTGGGAGATAACAGAATTACTTGTTTGGAATTTCCCTCACATGGATAACATTTTTAGGGCACATTTATTTATTTTTTTTAATGAAAAAAATTTTTTTAATGGTGCTTTAGGTGAAAGTTTACAGCTCAAGCTAGTTTCTCATACAAAAATTTATACACACGTTGTTATGTGACCCTAGTTGCTATCCCTATAATGTGATCGCACATTCCTCCTTTCCACTTTGGATTTCCCGTGTCCATTTTTGACCAGCTCCTATCCCTTTCTGCCTTCTCATCTCACAACGGACAGGCGCTGCCCATTTAGTCTCATGTATCTTTTACTTGAACTAAGAAGCACACTCTTCACGAGTATCATTTTATGTCTTGTAGTCCAGTCTATTCTCTGAAGAGTCAACTTTGGGAATGGTTTTAGTTCTGGGTTAACAGAGAGTCCAGGGGCCATGTCTTCTAGAGTTCCTACAGTCTGTCAGACCATTAAGTCTGGTCTTTTTACATGAATTTGAGTTCCGCACCCCACTTTTCTCGCTCTATCAGGGAGTTTCTGTTGTGTTCCTTGTTAGGGCGGTCATTAGTGGTAGCCAGGCACCATCTAGTTCTTCTGGTCTCAGGCTGACAGAGTCTCTGGTTTATGTCGCCACTTTTGTCTCTTGGGCTAATATTTTCCTTGGGTCTTTGGTGTTCTTCATTCTCCTTTGCTCCAGGTGGGTTAGGACCAGTTGTTGCATCTTAGATGGCTGCTCGCTAGCTTTTAAGACCTCAGACGCCACTCACCAAGGTGGGATGCAGAACATTTTCTTAATAAACATTGTTATGCCAAATGACCTAGATGTCCCCTGAAACCATGGTCCCCAGGTCCCTGCCCCAGCTACACTGTCCCTCGAAGTGTTTGGTTATGTTCAGGAAACTTCTTAGCTTTTGGTTTAGTCCAATGGAGGAGCACATTTCTTACCTATGTGAAGAGATATCAGTAACTATGTAAACTTTTCTCTCTTGACCTGACACAGTCCCTGTGAACAAGTTATTTGGTTTTTAAACTCATTTGAGTGCTGCTTGAAATAGTTGACAATAAGAGGAAGTTTCAAAGAAGGGTTAAATATGTGAGAGAAAGGGCCTGCAGATGAGTCACTACAGGTGGGAAATTGCTTGACAGGGCAGATAGCAAATAACAAGAATAATGTCCAGGCTCCAAATTCCGGAATGTTTTTTCGAGTGCCTCTTATCAGGTTCTGTGCTAGGTGCAGTGCCATCCCTCTGCACTCATGGAGCTCACAGGTGGTAGGGAGAGAGAACTCAACAAGCAACCTCAGTGGAATGAAGAAAGATTGAAGAGTGAAGGTGGAGTTCAGGGAATAAGGGGAGAATTTGCTTTTTTCTTTTTTTTATACTTTATTTTATTTTATTGTTCTTGTTGAGGATATACATAGAAAACATACTCCAATTCAACAATTTTTTTTTATTGTTGTGCTTTAAGTGAAAGTTTACAATCAAGTTAGTCTCTTATACAAAAATTTATACATACATTGTTTTGTGACCCTAGTTGTTCTCCCTATACTGTGACAGCACACTCTTCCTTTGCACCCCAGATTTCACACGTACATTCAACCAGTTGCTGACCTTCCCTGCCTTCTCGTCTTGCCTCTGGGTAGGAGCTGCCCATTTAGTCTCATGTATCTACTTGAGCTAAGAAGCACACTCTCCACGAGTATCATTTTATGTCCCACAGTCCAGTCTAATCTTTGTCTGAAGAGTTGGCCTCGGGAATGGTTTTAGTTTTGGGCTAACAGAGTCTGGGGGCCATGTCTTCCAGGGTCCCTCCAGTCTCAATCAAACCATTAAGTCTGATCTTTTTACTAGAATTTGAGTTCTGCACCCCACTTTTCTCCTGCTCCATCAGGGACTCTCTGTTGTGTTCCCTGTCAGGGCGGTCATTGTGGTAGCCAGGCACCATCTAGTTCTTCTGGTCTCAGGTTGATGAAGTCTCTGGTTTATGTGGACCTTTCTGTGTCTTGGGCTAATACTTTCCTTGTGTCCATGGTATTTCATTCTCCTTTGTTCCAGGTGGGTTGGGACCAATTGATGCATCTTAGATGGCCACTCGCTAGCTTTTAAGACCCCAGACATCACTCACCAAAGTGGGATGCAGAATAATTTCTTAATAAACTTTGTTATGCCAATTGACCTAGATGTCCCCTGAAACCATGGTCCCCAGGACCCCTGTCCCTGCTACTCTGTCCCTTGAAGCATTTGGTTGTATTCAGAAAACTTCTTAGCTTTGGTTTAGTCCAGTTGTGCTGACTTTTCCTGCAGTGTGTGCTGTCCTTCCCTTCACCTAAGATAATTCTTGTCTACTTTCTGGTTAGTTAATACCTCCTCCCTCCCTCCCCACCCTCGCAACCATCAAAGCATGTTTTCTTCTGTGTTTAAACCTTTTCTTGAGTTCTTATAATAGTGGTTTTATACAATATTTGTCCTTTTGCAACTGACTAAATTCACTCAGCATAATGCCTTTCAGATTCCTCCATGTTATGTTTCACGGCTTCATCATTGTTCTTTATTGTTGCATAATATTCCATTGTGTGAATATACCATAATTTGTTTATCCATTCGTCCATTGATGGGCACCTAGGTTGTTTTCATCTTTTTGCTATTATGAACAGTGCTGCAATGAACATGGGTGTGCATATACCTATTCGTGTGATGGCTCTTATTTCTGTAGGATATATTCCAAGGAGTGGGATTGCTGAATCGTATGCTACTTCTATTTCTAGCTTTTTAAGGAAGTGTCAAATCAATTTCCAAAGTGGTTGTACCATTTTACACTCCCACAACAGTGTATAAGTGTTCCAGTCTCTCCACAACTGCTCCAACATTTATTATTTTGTGTTTCTTGGATTAATGTTAGCCTTGTTGGGGTGACATGGTATCTCATCGTAGTTTTGATTTGCATTTCTCTAATGGCTAATGATTGTGAGCATTTCCTCATGTGCGTGTTAGCTGCCTGAATGTCTTCCTTGGGAAAGTGCCTGTTCATATCCTTTGCCCATTTTTTTAATCGGGTTGTTTGTCTTTTTGTTGTCGAGGTTTTGCAGTATCTTGTAGATTTTAGAGATTAGACCAATTCAACAATTTCTACATGTAAATTTTAGTAACATTGATGACATTCTTCAAGTTCAGCAACTATTCTCACCCTTCTTTTCTGAGTTGCTCCTCCTCCTGTAACATAAACTCAATGCCCCCTAAATTTCCTATCTAATCTTTCAATTTGCTATTGTCAATTTGATCACATATAGATAGATCTTAAAAGAGCACAATGCTCAAGGCAGACATTCTTTATTAGTTAAGCTAAACTACTGTATTTTTACACAACTACGTTTGTTTGCCAACCACCCCCTTCCATCATGAGGTATTTTCATAAGCATGCTATGCTAGTATTTTTTTATATATATATTGCATAAAAATACGGTACTGTTTAGTTTTAAGAAGACTTCAGAGGATGTTTTTGGTTTAGGGTTTAAAGATTATCTCAGGACAATATTCTTAGGGGTTTATCCAACCTTCATGACTCCAGAAAAACTGGATTCCATGAAAATTTGAAATTCTATCTGCCTTTTCCCCCTTTTGATCAGGATTCTTCTATAGAATCTTTGAACAAAATGTTTAGTAATGAGCCAGCTCTTCTGGTCTCATGGCAAAGGAGGCAGTTGTTCATGGAGGCAATTAGCAACCCATTCCATATCCTCTTCCTATTCCTGACTCTCCTTCTTCCTCTGTTGCTCCAAGAGAATAGGGACCAATTGGTGTGCCTTGGAAGGCTGCTTGTAAGCTTTTAAGACTACACAATGAACTAGGACGTAGGACAAAAACACTAAACATGTTATTAGGCCAATTAACTGAAATGTCTCATGAAACCATGACCCTAAACCTCCAAACCAAGGAACCAAATCACATGAGGGGTAGAAATTTGCTTTTGAGGCCATAAACTTTTAATACAATTTTAATATACTTTCCTTGAGAAGTGAAAAGTGTTTGCACCCCTTGATACTCCCCTATACTTCAGCTGACCTCTGCAAAGATGGGAAAACAGCAAAACCATTCACAAATGTGTATGTCCTCCCTCCATCATCTCCTGTCAGATATTCAGACATAGTAATTACTTCAAATGCCTTTGGCTTCCTTCGCCAACATCTTTCCTTCTACCTTCTCACTCCAAATATATATACCCCATTAGACCCTTGAGTATGCAAACAGCAAGATGTGGCAGGCAAGGCTCTTAGAGTTCTCTGGCCAAACATCAAGAGGTTCTCTTTGGTCACTGAAAAGCTATAGTGCAAACTAGACCTTACCTGAATGACTTAGTTGTACAGCAGATAAGGCGGCCTTAGGACCCTGGACATTTTTGATTCTGCAAAGTGGAAGCCCATCTGAGGATATTCTGAAATTTTGTCAAGTCTGGAAGTAATTCAAGACTCTGACCAGCATCAGGCCAAACCAAGACAGTGGGGATGTCCATTACTTCCCATCTAATCTAGGGTTAATCTGAGGCACCTAATTTGTTATGGTGGGGACAGGGGAATTCTTGCCAACCTACCTCAGCAGGGTGTTCTTGATGAGATGGGGAGGGACAATTGGTGACCTGTTATGGGCAGATAACTGCTAGGCAATCTGTTAACGTACCTCTTGCTGTCGAGTCGATTCCAATCCAATCCATACAGGACAGAGTAGAACTGCCCCATAGAATTTCCAAGGAGCAGCTGGTGGCTTCGAGCTGTTGACCTTTTGGTTAGCAGCCAAGCTCTTAACCACTACACCATGAGGGGAGAAAATTTTCACTGAAACTGATTAAGTCTGACTTTGACTATACAGACTCAGCCCAGGCATTCATCTCTGGGATGGTTGGTGCTATTTTGTTTACAAGTCAAGAGAAGGAATGAATGGCCCCTATAATTTAGAGTAGGGGACAAAAACTCAAGTATCTCAGAGGCCAGGCAGATAAGGTTGATTTTGAAATGGGCTAGGATGGTTCTACACGGAACTGCAGAGTGCTGTTCCCTCTAACCGGGTCTTTGGCTACTCAACTCCAGCCCATTGTTGCCATGCAAATGTGGACCCAGTGTTTCCTCATTTACTGATTTTTCTGGAAATTCAGAATTTTCTATGAAATCCTCCAGGTTTTAAGATAATTGGCTTCAAATCTGATTTTTTTAAAAATACTCTGTGCACAAAATATGACATATTTGGGCCAGGTTGCTGGTTTGCAACCTCTAAATTAGGGCCTGTGCATTAGAATTATACATCTATTTTTTTCTTCAACCAAGAGCAAAATGTTCTGTGGAAACTATAGGAGCTTTAATGTCTATCACATACTGAAACTAACGTTATCTTCTTTGTCCTTTTTAATCTATTCCCACAGGTGAAAGAGATATAAGGATTGATGATGTGCCAAAATTAAAAGTGGTGGAAAACTTCATTTATGAGAGCATGAGGTACCAGCCTGTCGTGGACTTGGTCATGCGCAAAGCTTTACAAGATGACATCATCGATGGCTACCCAGTGAAAAAGGGGACCAATATTATCCTGAATATTGGAAGAATGCATAGACTCGAGTTTTTCCCGAAGCCCAATGAATTTACTCTTGAAAACTTTGAGAAGAATGTAAGAGATCCCTTCCTTAACACTGAGTCTGCCACTCTTGAAAATGTCAACTGTTAAATTCGATCTGGGTCTGTGTGTTTGCACCTGTACATTTCATTTTTTTTTTACTCTTTCCCCTCTGCCTGCTTTCTCACCAGGAACACACATTTCCCGTAGCTTGAATACCATATCTGTCCTCAAGCTCAGGATGCTGGGTCTCCAGCTTTGGAAAGTGTCAATGTGGTGGCCACACAATAGGTCAAATGTGAAAAACCCAGGCCATTAGTTAGGCTCAAACAAGGCTAATATTTTTTAACCCAACTACCTTACTTTTCCATTTAAACATATCACTTCGCCACCATGTAAACTCAGCGTAGCACCATCTAAGCAAAGGAAGGTGCACTTCTGCTTCAGATGGAAATCAAATGAAACTAAAAGATTTTGTTTTTCTGCAGTCTGTCTTGGTTCATCAAATGGCCCCATGAGCAGTAGGTCCCATTCTAAATGAGACTCAGTAATTAGAAGAGATTCCATTGTTTTCTTTTCCTATAATTAATATACACTGGATATTCTGCATTCATTATATCAAATTTTAAGCAACAGAGTTTTTTAACCTGAATTTTCCAGACCATTCCCTCAGTGCCCTCTTTCCATTTGCATATGGTGTAGAAACATGACCTTAATTAATCCAGTTCTCTGACTCATTTTGTTTATACACAGGCAATACAAACAATGCCACATATAGCCAGACAATTGGTCAACAAGAACTTACTGAGCACCTATTATGTGCTATCTAAGTCCAGATGTGGGCAAGACAGATGTGGTCCCCACCCACAAGGATTTTATAATGTGGACCAAAAAATAAATTTTTGCATAATTAAAAATCTTTAGATGCTTGGCACTGATAGCCAAGAATCCACATTGTTGCCCAAATTTGTCCCTTTTTATCAGGTTACATGGGTATCACACAAAAATAGTCTTTGCCTTTGCAGAATAGTAGAGCTATGGTCATTCCACAGAGCTGGTTGAGTGTACCAGCATCGGCTGTAGTACAATGATCTGCATTGCTTTGGCCCAGCACATTTACATGAAAAACAAAGCTGGGGACTGTCTGAGGTTGGGTCTGTATGACAACGGGTAAATCAAACTGGACAGAGAGAAGGGTTTATTTGAGTGACAGTAGTTCATCTCAGTGAAGGAGTAGTGTGGCTGATGCCCTGAAAACTGTGTTTTCAGGGTGCATCAGAGACTGTATGACTCTAGCCTTTCATACCCTCACTAATTGTCTGATCATTTTCATAGGTTCCTTACAGGTATTTTCAGCCATTTGGTTTTGGGCCCCGTAGCTGCGCAGGCAAGTACATCGCCATGGTGATGATGAAAGCCATCCTGGTTACACTTCTGAGACGATTCCACGTGAAGACACTGCAAGGAGGGTGTATTGAAAACATGCAGAAAAAAAATGACTTGTCCCTGCACCCAGATGAGACTGGCAACTTGCTGGAAATGATTTTTACCCCAAGAAATTTCAACAAGTACCTCCAACACTAAAGAAGCCTGGTCAGTACCAACTCTGAAGCATTTCTCATCAGTAGTTTACACAGAAGCCATCCATCCTTGCCCATGTAGTATCAACCTCCCAGTGAAAACTCGGTGGCATTTTGTAGGCACACTTCCTACAGGTTGTCAGCAAGCCAGGAGCTATCGGTCATCCAGTCTTGCCTAAACCAGAGAACCAGGCTGCCAGAGAAAAGACAGAGGCCAACAGTTTGCAGGGGAAATGGTCAGAGGACAAACTGTAGCCCTAAAGACCCAATTCCACAAAACTTGTTTTGGAAAGAATAGACCATCAGCAAAAAAAAGTATGCCCAGCTTCCTATGGGATCGCCACTGCCCTCCCTGAGGGCATTTTAACTCAAGGCAGAAGCATTCAAGTCAAATAGAAGGGCCAGGCAAATGTCTGGGTAACTGAGGCCAAACACACCTGCTAGTGTGAATAAAAGTGCTTTGATTTGGTTTTGGAGGGTAGGGGCTGCATGATTCATAGTCTTCGGAGAAATGCTTACAAAAACAGCATTTGACTTTTCCTAATTAATGGTAACCAATGAACTCTAGTTTATCCATATGTAACTTGTCTGTGGAAAATTTTAAATCTGATTATACCCTTTCCTAGTTTCTCAGTTCATGCCTCAGCCACTTACCTCTGCTACAATGTGTGTAGATTCAGGTAATTCAAGCTAATTTAGTAATAGCGTGAGTAACATATAAATAGGCCCACATATCTGTTGTAGGGGAAAAAAAGACATAATACATTTCAAATTCAAATAAAAATTGTTTTTGCATGTTTGCATTGTTGCTTAGCTCCATTAGTGCAGCTAATGAAGAAATGACTTTAAATAGTGGCATCTACCAACACTTGCAGCAGTTCCCATGATGTGGGGGAGGGGAAGTCCTCTGATCTATATCTAATTCTCCAACCCAGTGGGTTCGAACCTCTAAGGAATGCTCCTGCCATTCCATTATCCTTCATCGACATTTTCCTCCTGTCTTTCTTTCCATGACCCCAAAGCCAAGGACAACACATTAGTAGAGAATATGGTCAGGTTTGAACCGCTGAGATCATCTTTTTATCCTACCTCAAGATCTTACACTACAAAAAGCAATTTAGAGATTTAACAGTTATCTAGTTTATTGAATCACTGTATGTAGCCATAAAGAAAATGCACATTTTGGAATTAGCTTTCTAGAGGGAATCAAATAAATGGGTTAATTTTTCAAATACCCCTTTACTTGTGTCATATAGCCAATATGGCTAAATCTACTGAATGCCATTTTTAAAACTGAAAAATTAAACTCAGCTACCTGGATATTTATAAGTATGCAAATGTTTGCCATTGAGTCAATAGCTATCCCAACATTTGAATATGTTTTTCATCATAATGTTTGACAATAGGGCAACAACTGATTATAAAATGAGCGTATACATTCCTTCAAAGCAGGAGCTGTTTTCTTTTGGACTCCATCCCCATCCCCCTTGTTCTGACTCCAGGTTGACTCTCAAGATCAGCGCTGAATAGACACTCTTGCTTATAGATATTCTCAACTGACTTCAGAAACTAAGAAAAAACAGACCAAAACCAAACCCACTGCCATTGAGTTGATACCGACTTATGGAGACCCCACGTGCAAGAGGCAGGTAGTCTAAGAATTCAAGGATAAACCAAAAACCAAACCCATTGCAGCTGAGTAGATTTTGATTTATTTGAACTTAGAATTTTTTGGAGCATCTATATGGCCTATAAGTATTCAGAAATATGCTTGTATATTTGGATATGTCTATAATGAGGTCTAGACAATCATTGAAATAATCCAGACCCCTGAAAGCAAGGCTAGAATTTTAGATTTAATATGTCCAAGTTAATTCACTTGATAATCGTTAACATGCTTTTACTTTGCCTCTGCTAGAGCTGCTTAGTAGAGGAAAACAAACTTTGGATTAGTGTACTCCCACCATCCAATTCCCTTGGAACATCTACATGTATTTTGTATGTATATATGTAGCCAAGGCCTATGTCTACACAGTCAAAGTAAAATAGAAGGTTTATTAAGTTGTCTATAGGTAATGTGCATACAAAAAACATGCTGGAGAAAACTAGGGAACTGGAGGGGGGTGTATAGGACAGGAAGAAGAGAAGTGCTGGTTTGTGTGACCCAAGGAAACTCTCCCAGAATCAAATTAAACTGGGTAACTGTTCAACTTATTGCTCTGCTTGGCCTGTATGGATAAACCCTATATGTTTGTATGGGCTTGGCCTAAGGAATTTGGAATACTGCTGACTTTTCAGTAGGCTGATGAACATGTATTTGAAAATCGTGTTTTTCTCTTCAGAATTTTGCTTCATTGTTAAGTACTTGTCACCTTTGAATGTGCTGTGGATTCTATTTTGTAATCCTTTCTCAAAGAACTGAAATGTGTAAATTATCAGTGAAATGCATGCATACATGAGCTCTTTGTTGTTAAATTGTGAGGACAATTGTACCCTCCGATCCTCAGGTTTACCAGTCATCTCCCTATGCCTTCACTGACATCCCACTTTTCCCTCTCCCAAGTGGAAAAGGATCACTTTCAGAAAGTCCTCACGTTATCAAGAAACACTCACTGGAAATTGCCACTTTTTATTTCTAAGCAGCACCTCTCACCACCCATGGTGCTAATAGTCCATTGAAGTGTGTGGCATTGGCCCACTGGAAAGGAGGCTAGATGGACTCCTTCCCACTTCCTGTATCAGCTGGTGTGTGGGAATGAAGTTCTCACTCATACTTGCAGAAAAGCCATTGCTAAATTAAACTTTGTCTAATTAATGAGTTGACTGGGATTTGTGGCACTGTCAGTTGGACTTAGCTCAAAAGGTAAAGCCACAGGCATAACCCTCCAGGGCTCAGCCCAGAAAGGGCTTCCCTGACTGAACTCTCTCGTTTCCTTTCTGCAGCTATTAGCAGGTGTTGTCCTATATCTAGGGAGTCAATAGCCACATGCTTGTTTCCATCAGGACAACAAGACTAGTGGAATGCATTTAGACTGGACAACCTGGTCATTAAGCTCAGCCCATTAGGTATACTCTGCCCCTTTTTCTACCATCAAGAAAGCATTACAAACAAATCAGAATCATTGTAAGAATATAGTTATAAGAATTAGCCTTAAATCCACTCTAATTAATAACGAAAAGCAAATCATTCACAAACTTCTTGTAATGAAGGTCGTAAGTGATTTCATCATAAGCGATGAAGGCCCCGGTGATTTTTAAAGTTCCTTTCAGCTCTTAGACTTCATGGGCAGAGAGGCAGTAGATCTGGGCTCAGCTTTTCTTAATTACATTCTTTGGACAAGCTGTTTGATCTCTCTGTGCCTCAGTTTTCTCGTCAATCCAAGGGGAATAATAACTACTTTAGAAAGCTGTTGTGAGCATTAGAAGAGATGACTTATGTGAAGCTCTTGGCAGAGTGTCTGGGAGTCAAGCTCTCAATAACCAGTGGGCATGATAATGATGATGCTCAGTAATTAGGCTGACTCATGACATCAAAATTCCATTCATACAGTAGTAGCTGTTGTTGTTAGCTGCTGTCCTGCCAGCCCCCGCCTCATGGTGACCCCACGCACAATAAAGAGAAACATTACCCAGCCCTGCACCTTCCCTGTGATTGGCTGTGGATTGGACCATTGTAATCCATAGGTTTTCACTGGCTGATTTTTGGAAGTAGATCACCAGGCCTTTCTTTCTAGTCTGTCTTAGTCTGGAAGCTCCTCTGAAACCTGTTCAACATCATAGCAGCATGAAAGTCCCCACTGACAGGTCCATTATTTCATTTTAAGCTTCATAACAACTCCCACATTAGTATGATCACCCAATAATCCCCACATTGTATGGATGAGAAGACAGAGCCCCAGGGAGTCTGGAGGACTTGCCTCAGGCACTCAGCTAGGAAAGGAACAAGTAGTATTTACATATACCTCTTATTGTGTAACCTCTTTGTAACAGGACGAACTGTTGAAAGGCTGGAGGTTCTAGTCCCAGTTCCCCACTCTCCAGTCATGTGATGCTGGGTAAACTCCAGCAACGTGTTCATATCCCACCTCGTTCCCACCACAGGAATTTGAAGCCAGAAATATCTCAGTCTCTTCATCCATAAAAATGTGGATGATACTCTCTGCTTTATCTATTTCCCATGCACGTTTTGAGGATCTTTCTAAAAGAGATAGTGTGGGGACATGCTGTAAGAGGGCACTAATATAAGGTGGTAGTAATAAGGTATGGATTCCAACAGCTGCCTCAGAAGGAAATTATCAAGTTCCTTTAGGCTATTCCCTAACTGCTAATCATTTCAGACGTGGTACTTGCAATATATATTTATTTTACTTTAAAGAGGTCTTTTGCAGCAGATATAAATCTCTCTCTCTCTCTATATATATATATGTATATATATATATATTTGTTATTGTTATTAGGTGCCGTTGAGTTGGTTCTGACTCAAAGCGACCCTATGTACCAGAACGAAACATTGCCTAGTCCTACACCATCCTCATAATCGTTGTTATGCTTTAGCCCATTGTTGCAGCCGCTGTGTCAGTCCGTCTCGAGGAGGATGTTCCTCTTTTTCGCTAACCCTCTACTTTACCAAGCATGATGTCTTTCTCCAGGGACTGGTCTCTTCTTATAACGTGTCCAAAGTATGTGAGACGAAGTCTGGCCATCCTCACTTCTAAGGAGCATTCTGGCTGTACTTCCAAGACAGATTTGTTCCTTCTTCGGCAGTCCATGGTATATTCAATATTCTTTGCCAACACCATAATTCAAAGGCATCGATTCTTCTTTGGTCTTCCTTCTTTATTGCTCAGCTATCACATGCATATGAGGTGATCGAAAACATCATGGCTTGAATCAGGTGCACTTTAGTCTTCAAGGTGACATCTGTTTTTCAACACTTTAAAGAGGTCTTTTGTGGCAGATTTGCCCAATTCAATGCATCTTTTGCTTTCTTGACTGCTGCTTCCATGGGCATTGATTGTGGATCCAAGTAAAAGGAAATCCTTGACAACTTTAATATTTT